TTCCTATTGCTATTTCTGCTTTTCCAAATCAACTAGAGAGACTCCTAAGATGGGAGATCTCAGGAAAGAATAGAACAGTGCCCTTCTAGGGACAGACGGGGCAGGGGTAAGAGCAGGCACTAGGATTTCTATCTGAAGCGCTCAGACCAGCTGTGCAGCTGAGCTGGAGGGGCCAGGGCAAGGTCAAAAGCTGAGACACACAGGCCGAGCCCATGGCGCACTCGGGAGAGTGTGGCGCTGGGAGCGCAGGAGTGCTCCCGCCACGGGTTTGGATCCTATATAGGGATGACCAGTGTGCTCACAGCGCTCACTGGCTGAGTGCGGTGCGGCCGGTCTCAAAAAGGACAAAAAAAAAAAAAAAAAAAAAGCTGAGACTCAGTGGCCAAAGACAGGATTGCTGAGAGAGCTGAGGTCACTGTGGGAGGACAGGCCCTGAGCACTGGCGCATCAGTCCCTGCCTGTGGCGGGCATCTTGGGCCAAGCCTTGCCTCCATGTTAGGCTCATCTGAGGGCCTGGCTGAGTCCCTAACAGTCTCCCATCAGAGGCTGGAGGTGACTCCTACCCTACAACTCAGGTGCACGTCTAGCCTGTGGGTTTCCAGAGCAGACGAACTGAGGACGTCCACAGTGGATCTCACTTAGAAAATCCCTCTCTGTGTGTTTCAAAGAAGGAAAACAGGAAATATTTTTATCCACTTTAAAAATGAGTGAAGCCAAGAGAAGAGCTCAGAGCTCCATCAGCCACATGTACCAAGTCGTGTTGTTCATGAGCACTGAAGGCTTGTCTGGGAGGAGGAGAGTGAGACTCGGGTCCCAGCCCCTCGTTCTTGTTCCTTCTTGTCTCTCAGCATCAGGTGGAGATGAAGAGGAGCAGGAGCAGGCAGAGGCGTGCTCTGAAAGGTGAGGCTCTGTCCTTCTGCTGGATGAGTTTGCCAGTCCCTGAGTGACAACGGCCACGTCTATGAGGAGGTCGTTGCGGAGGCCCGAGAGGGAAGCTCCTGGGATGGGGATCAAACCTGGGGTACTGCTCAGGTTCTGCACTGGGAATGAAGCCACAGCGGGCCAGGGAAGGGCTGTTGTCCAGCAGGGGTGGGGGTGTGGGGGTTGGGTAATGGGCCAATACTGCCTGGATGGAGGTGGGACCTCCCGGTCCACTATGGACATGCTGTTTAACTTTGCTAAGGCTGATTCCTCTTTGGGAGGACCCTGTCCTTCCTCCCCCAGAGGGCAGTGGTNTGCCTCTGACCCACACTCACCCCTGCGGGGCCGCACAGCTAGGACATTCTCATGCACAGAGTAGCTTGTGTCAGGCGTGTGAGGTTTGCTTTATTTTAAATGAAACCAGTTACGTTATCAAACATATGAAGCTTTTTCACAAATGAGACATATTTCTGGCAATATTTGTATTACATCCTCTTTCAAATTGATACTCACTGCTTGATACTAGTAAATAATTAAATGCCATTATTTATGTTGTTCTTTAAAGTATGGTAATACCCTCAAATGGTACTACACAGTTTCCAGAATACGACAAAATCCTAAGGTTTGTCTAATATAGCTTAAACTCCAGGACTATTTAGAAGCATTTATTTCTAAAATAATTCCAAGAAATACACATTTTTCAAGATTCGGGAAGTCAGGTTGTGTTTTATATTCACTACAGTGGAACAAAAAGGACACATCAATTAAAATAACGGAAATTTTAGAAAACATATCAATTAATTGGTGCTTGAGACATTCCTTACTTCAGTTAATACTTGAGAATTGGCATTTAAACATCTGTTTAATGAAAGACAGTGTACATTTAATCTGCATTTTTGTTACGATAGTTAATAATAAAAGTCACTACACACCTAACACTTTCAAAATTGTGCACCTAATTGAGACTACATATTTCTCACTGTTCATAAAAATCCTGTTGCCTTGGGCTCTGTAAAATCAAAAGCAGATATCAAGTATATGTGTGGCTAACTGTCTTAGATTACCCACTGGTATGACAGAATCATGGTCTCTTTTCTAAGACAGGAATAAACTGAGGTGAGGACTCTGTGAGTGTGTATTTACTTATGTAGTTGGTTAATTAATTATTTTCGCAGCTGGCCAGTAAAGAGATCCAAATCCCTGACCTTGGTGTTATCAACACTGTCCTCGGGCTAACCAGCCATCCCCTTTATTTTTTTAAATTATGTATAAAACATACTCAGGCAGTAATATATTTTATAAAATTATAGCTACTAGTTTGTTGAGGTTTTCTCCTTGTGTGATATTTTCTTATTGTGTAATTGAATTATGGAACTATGGCAAATGACCAGGAATGCCCATTAATGTCTAATCAACAGCATTTACTAATGAGAATAATTCAACAGCTCCCTACAGACAGACATCCACAACCTCCCACAACCACGAAAAAGGTACTTCCTTTTTGGAAGTAACAGCCCATATTCCTAAATCAGGACTTTAAATAAGAGGAAGCTAAATTCTACAAAGAGGTATAAAATAATGGAACTCTTGGCAAAAGAGGAGGATTTAGGAAAAGCTAGTGCCTTTCACAGAAAAACATAATAGCCTCATCTCACCCTGATTTTAAAAAAGATGTGAGAGACACATCTATTTGATATAACCGTTTTTTCATTCTCATTTTTTTTTATAAGAATTGTGGGCCAGAATATTTTTACAGAAGTAACACATGGGAAATGTGGCTTGTAAGGTTCTGTAGTCACTCTTATGCCCCTTGGAATGCAGCATGTGGTCAAACACAAAGGCCAGCAGAAACATTTTCTGGAAAAATGATTACATTCTCTCAAACTTTTCTCTGTAGAGAAAAGGAGACTTCAAGTAGGAAGGTGAGATACCCCTGCCCCTCAAATAATACATATTTTATAGGCTATGAGATGGATGGGCTCCCACAAGGAAGGATTTGCAGAAGGTAGATCAGGAAGGACACACAGGTCTAGGGTCTGTTCACCATGGCTAGGACAGCATCTGAAAGATCTGTGCATAATGTCATTAGGAACCAGAGCTTGGCCAAAGGAGCGCTGGATGCTGCTACCTCCCCTTTTGCTCAGGCACGACACCACTGTTCACCACCACCTCACGTCTCAACCACCCCTCATCAGCTGAGGACTTACCAGTGACTCTAGATAAAGAAGATGGGGAGAGAAACAGGAGATGTTGAAATGGAAAGGAAGCAAGAGAAGGCAGAAGGCAAAGGAGAAAGAGCCATTATCAAACAATGATCGTGGTTGAAATCTTTTCTCCACCTGGGGACCCTGAGGCACAGAAATATTGCCCAAACCACACACATACTCAATTCCCACATCTCTTGACTCAAATGCTTCCTTTACTGCATCATACAACCTATGTGCAAGTGTCCCTTTCATAGACCAGCTAGATGACATCCCTGGAGGGAATTGTTTTCACCACTACCAGGTTATGGTACACATTACTTCTTCAGCCAAAAAGAAAAAAAAGTCACTTTGCCATTTAGATTACAACATATTTCAGGGTATGGGGACTCTTCTTGATAGCGGTCTGTTATTTGTAATCATGGTAGGGTGTAAAAAGAAAACAATGACAAGCAAAGGAAAACTGCCTTTATTACCTTCCATGAACAACAGTGCAATGCAATCAAGGTGGTCATTGCAGAAGCTGAGGACTGGAAGCAAAAGAACAAAAAAATCCAGGTCCTGGAGAGGCCACCCCTGCTTTGCCCCCAACCCCCCACCCCACACCTGCACCTGACAGGCATGGAGGCTCATTGATCATGAGGGGGACTCAGTAGTAGGAGGGGACACGACAGTACACTGAAGTGCAGAAAGTGAATATAAGAACTTCCATTTACATTCTTTTTAATTTCACTAAAAAATCATATGTATGTGTACACACACACAAGTATAGATAATCTTTGTCATACATATGTTATAGAACCACAGTGCATGCATATAATTTGCAAATAAATAGTGCAGCCACGTGCACAGGAAACTTTTCACTGACTGGGAGAATAATAGAAACCTTGGAGAAACACTGACATAAGCCAGACCCCCAATCTTTTCAAAGGAACAGACCCAGAATCCAGCACAACCACGGGCGCTGGGTTCTATCAAGCAAAACACATGTGTGGCCTTCCCAGAGAGAGTGAGAGCCATGAGTACACTCTAGAAGAGCAGTTACCAGACTCTGAAACAGCAAACTGTGATTGGTGCCACCTTGCAGGTGAAAGGGGGGAAACACAGGTAAGTGGACCATTCTTCCGAGGTAAGTGGACCATTCTCCCCCCCCCCACTTGCCTGCTGAAATCACAGAGCTGTAGTCCATGAGGGACTTCAAGTCAGAAGTGAAAGGCTATGTCAGGTGGAGCAGAATGAGAGGCCAGATCCAGTTGATACAGTGCAGGCACCACAGGGCCTTCCAAGGTGGGCAGAGCTGCAGGAGATGGGGCACGGGACAGAGGGCAGGAGATGAGGCAGAAGCAGTCAGACCTCAGGCAGCATCTAGCAGAGACTGGTGACCAGCAGCACATACCAAACCCAGGAGAAGCTGGGTCTTGCAATTAAGAATGGTTTACATGGACATTAGATTGTTAAAAGTATCCTATTGGTTTTGAAAGACAGGCGAAATTGTGAAGGTACTAGAATTATTCAATAACTAAAAAAACCTGAAACACTGCAGTTGTATATATAGAAAATCCACTGGAATATGTCTGCTTATATATGGAAAATCCAGTGGAATATATACCTGGCAAATATTGAGAAAGAGTGTTAGCTACCAGGCCAAGCAATCGCAGTGAGCAAGCTTAAGCATGGGTAGATTCTTCCATGGCATTACTTCAGCAGTTGTGAGATAAGATTATTTAACTAATAATC